ATTTCTCGCTTTCTGTCTCTCTGTCTCTCTCTGTCTCACAAGCACACGCGCCCTATAGCGAAAATCTCTCCAAAAAAAGAAAAGAAGTGATTGTGCAAGACCATATACTGCACTAACATCTCCCCAGAGAGCTCAGGGGTACTGGTGTGTGCGTGTGTGTGTGTGTGTGTGTGTGTGTGTGTGTGTGTGTGTATTACTCACAGAGGGGAGTTAAACTGCTAAACTGCTTTGGATCTAAAACTAGTCCGATCACTAGTCGTCTACCACGACTACTAACTTGATGGCCCTGAGAAAGTCACCATTCTCTCCAGGACAGTTTGCTCACTTGCATCTGCAGGTAACTGGGCTAGATCAGTGGTTTTCTTGCCACCTCTGACTTCGAAACTATCACTCACATACGAGCAGAGCCCACCTGCCACTCCATGCTCAGGCAGTGTGAAACCCCTTCGTTTACTGGGGAAAGGGATGGGGCTTCATGACCTTTATTTCTGGGGCAGGAATTCTCTCCTGCACCCAACCAATACCAGCAAGAAACAACACCTAGACAAGCTAACGAACCAGTTCAATCTGTGTCTGGCCTGATGGCGAGGGGCTGGATCCCTGGGGCTCCTACATCACTTAGAACGCTGTAGTAAAAGGGTAGAAACACTCAACAAGAAGTTCAAGACTAGAATTTCTGACTCTAAAGCCACTGTGTGACCCTGGACCAGTTACTTCCCCTCTCTGGGTCTTGGTAGCCTCATTTCTTACTTTTAAAAAAAGCCTGGACCAGTTACTTCCCCTCTCTGGGTCTTAGTAGGCTCATTTCTTACTTTAAAAAAAAAGGCATCAGACAAGACAATATTTGTGGCTCCATTTGATGCTACTGTTTAAAGACTTTGTGCATGACAAGTCACATTGTGCGCTGGCAATGACTACCCTGAGCTAAAAGGACCAAATCATCTTTGCGAATTGGAATAACTGGAATAATTTAGAGAAGGGATAGTGTGGGGGCTGTGGCTACTGGGGAACCTCAGAGGAGGCATGGAGCTGACCCTGATGGCCAAGTGACATTCAACTTCTGAAAGGCAGTCTAATCCTCCTGGGGGGCCCAAGGGAGACCCACAGACACCCAGCCTTCTGTAGACACTGGAAGCAAAAATCCACTGAACGAGTAATGGGACAATTGTTTTTCCTCTACCTGGGTCCTGGGGTAAGGAAACAGCATCTGAATAGCGACTGAAGGACACATAGCTCTCAGCCCCATTGATGAGTCCGTGGTTCTGAGGGTTAAAGGTAATATTCGTGAAGCCAGCCACACAAGCCCTGTGGAGTGACAAAGAACAAACAGAAGTCACTTTTTGTTAGATGTGTCCAACACCACAGACACATAGAGCTTTGCACTCATGAGGCTCAGCACCCTGCTGCAAGAACCAGAAGGCATTACCGGTAGGAGCCCAGAGGTTCCAGCTTCCCGTTGTAGTAGCCGTGTGTGGTCAACTCGTTTCCAACATCAATTTCATATTTCAAGACTTCAGACAAGTCCTGAGAAGGTCCCTTTTCTTCTGTTCTTATGAGGTATGTCACATAAGTATCTGAAGTCCCCTTCTTGAAATCTCCATAGGTATATTTCAAAACATCGGCCGAAGGGGGACCAGCTAAGGAAGGCACACAGAAGGTACATTATAAGAAAGTGATGGCAGAGAGAGATGGGAGTCTCTACACATCTAAACAATGACAGTGACGCTGGGTGACAATGATAGTGACGATGGTATTGGCTGCCATTTCAATACCTCTTTGTGCCAGGATTTGCCTACGCTCATTTTTTTATCCCCACAACACTCATCACATCAGCTTGTCATGCCCATTTTACAGACAAGAAAATGAAGGCACAGAAAGCGAATGGGACCTGGCCCAAGGTCACACCATCTAAGTGGTAAAACCGGATTCCTGAACAAGAGTGCCTGGCTTGGAGCCTGTGCTCTCACTCATTTCAGGCTGGGAGAGGTCCGTCTGGCCACTGGGCAATGACCTCATTGTTCAGGAAAGGTCTAAGCTTGGGGTTTGCTGAAAACCTATCACAGCAAAAAAAAAAAAAAAAAAAAAAAAAAAATCCCTGAAACAGGGGCCAGCAGGTGGGGTGGTGGTTAAGGCGCTGGAATTCTCACATGGCCGACCACAATTCGAGTCCCAAACCTGGCAGCTTGTTCTCTCTCTCTCTCTCTCTCTCTCTCTCTCTCTCTTTCTCTGGCAAAACTCATGTGAAAACAAAAAATAATAATAAATAAATTTTAAAAATCATTTTTTTTTTTAAATCCCTGAATCAGACCCAAATTAAAAGACAGAAACAGAGAGAGCTCAACATCACTTTTTGGAATTTTGCCACAGGTTTATGACATCAGCAAATGTTTGTCCTCCAGGATCCCCACATCTGTGACAGGGTGTTTGGTCTCTAATTTCCTCGGGGGCATGAGAACAGCACCACAGGGTGAGAGACCAGGCAGAAGTGGCGCTGCATTCCTCACATTTAAAAGAGTCACTAAAATAGACAAAACTCAGCATTTTAAATCTAGGCCCCGTGTGAAGCGCTCATACACAGTTATTAAAGACACTCACTCCTCCCTGGCTGCCTGAGGACTGACCACCATCATGAATGAGGCAGTAACTATCTGTACCAGAATATTCAAGACCAATGACTACTTCAGAGGGAACAAATGGCCATTAACATCCTTTGCTCTAGGAAGGCAATAGAAACTAAGACAGAAATTTGGGAAAAACTAGCCAAGGTGTCCAAGACCACACTAGATATCACCTTTGTGTTTGGGTTCAGAATCCATTTTGGTGATGGTAAAGCAACTGGCTTGGGCATAATTTATGATTTCTTGAGTTATGCCAAGAAAAATGAAACCAAACATAGATTTGTAAGACACAGCCAGTATGAGAAGAGAAAGATGTCAAGAAAACAGCAAAAGGGAGACCAGCAGTTAGCATAGTGGCTATGTCACTGGACTCCCATGTAGCCAACCGCGGTTCGAGTCCCAACTTAAACTCATGCTGGGCACGTGTGCATGAGTGCCCAAGATTCCGAGAGGAGAATGAAGGAGAAGGGATTGCGGCATGGCTATCCCCCCTGGGGGGGGGGGTGATTTCTCACTTTCTGTCCCTCTGTCTCTCTCTGTCTTTCCGGTAAGCGCACGTGCCCTATAGCAAAAACCACTCCAAAAAGAAAACAGCAAAAGGAATATAAGAACAGAAGGAAGAAAGGGGACTGCAAAGGCCAATGTTGGTGCTGGCAAAAAGTGAGGTGGAGATTAGAGAACAGTCAAAGGAGTAAAGATTCTGTGATGACTATCTGTGGTGATTATGCAGATGTTTCATGGAAGGATTAATAAACTAAAAGTTTTCACGTTAAAGAAAAAAAAAGACACTCTCCAGTACTTCTCTCCTTCTTCCCAAAGAATGTGTAAGAGCCCTTGAAGGGAAGGCAGCCTTTAATCCACTTCTCTCAGCTAGTGGGATGCTCTTTGCAAGTTTCACTTGTTTATTTTTAGGATAACTGCCCGTGTTTTAGGAATCTTGTTCAAGAAATCTTTGCCAGGGCCAGCAGGTGGTGTGGTGGTTAAAAGCACTGGACTCCCACATGGCTGACCACGGTTGAAGACCCAGACCTAGCAGCTTGCTTTCTCACTTTCCCTCTCTCTTTCGCTCACTCTGTCCCTCTCTGGTCAAATTAAAATAAATAAACAAATAAATAAATAAATAAAGTTAAATATAAATATAATTCTATTTTAAAAAAGAAAGAAATCTTTGCCTACTCTAGTGTCTTCAAGAATTTCCCCTATGTTTTCTGCCAGTAGTTTTATAGTTTGAGGTTTTATATCTAGATATTTCATTCATTTTTTAATTATTTTTTGATAATGGTGAGAGAAAGAGGTCCAGCTTAATTTTTCCTGGTATTTACCCAAAGGATAGGAAAAGACTCAGACTGAAAAACACAAACACAAATAATTATTTAATAAATAAATAAATAAATAAATAAATAAATAAATAAATTGGCCAAATTAAAATAACTGAATAAATAAATAAAATTAAGTAAATAATTCTTTAAATAAAAAAGAAAGAAAAACACGAGCACATCTATGTTTACTGCAGTATTTCAACATAAATGCCAAGAACTGAGGAATGAATTGAAAAACTGTGCACATGTACCCTATGGAATACTACTTAGCTATAAAGAACAATGAGACCCTATCATTTGACTCAAAGAGGATGAATATACAAGATTTAATGTTAAGAGATCAGCAGTTAGCGTAATGGCTATGTTGCTGAACTCCCACATAGTCGACCATGGTTTGAGTCCTGGACCCTGTGGCTTAAACTCACACCAGGTGTGCGTGTGTGCGTGTGTGCCCAAGATCCTGAGACGAGAATGGAGGAGAAGGGATTGCGGCATCACCATCCCCCAAGGGGGTGATTTCTCGCTTTCTGTCTCTCTCTGTCTTTCTGGTGAGTGCACATGCCCTATAGCAAAAACCTCTCAAAAAAAAAAAAAAAGATTTAATGTTAAGCAAAATAAGCCAGACTATGAAAGGCTAATGCTGTAATATCCCCGCTCACTATATTGAGTTGTCGAGAGAGTCACATTTTGCTTAGAAAATTCTGTCACGACTTTCCAGACGACCTAAATGTTTGCACTCTACAGCAGAAATTAAAAGATCTGAAGATAGGGAACCAGCAGTTAGCGTAATGGCTATGTCACTGGACTCCCACGTAGTCGACCGCGGTTCGTGTCCCGGACCCGGTGGCTTAAAACTCACACCGGGCACGTGTGCGTGAGTGCCCAAGATCCCGAGAGGAGAATGGAGGAGAAGGGATTGCGGCGTGACCATCCCCCCTGGGGGGTGATTTCTCGCTTTCTGTCTCTATGTCTCTCTCTGTCTGTCTGGCGAGCGCACGCACCCTACAGTGAAAATCTCTCAAAAAAAAAAAAGATCTGAAGATATAATATAGTAGGAAGGAAAAATGTAGATACCAAAAACTATGTAAGAGAGGAATGTATAGCAGAGAAAGGATGGAATAGGCTCAGGGAAGAAACTCTTAACAGATGCAAGACTGTAAAGTTCACTGTTGGAAAGAATGTATTATGTATAGTAATATCCTTGATTTGATTGTCATTACTACATGCATACCTTAAAAACACTGTGTTTGGGGACCAGTAGGTGGCGTGGTGGTTAAGGCGCTGGACACTCCCACATGGCCAACTACAGTTTGAGTCCCAGACCTGGTAGCTTGCTTTCTCACTTTCTGTCTCTCTCTCTCTCTCTCTGTCTGGTCAAATTAAAATAAATGAATGAATAAATAAAAGTTAAATAAATAATTATTTAAAAAACACTGTGTGCTCTAGAGATGTACAATAAAATAATTGAATATAAATAATAAATCATAAAATTTAAAAAGAGAGAAATAAAAGAAAAGCTAGATCAGAGGTCATCAAGTTATGGTCCATGGGCCAAATCCAGCCATCACCTTTTAGGTCATCAGAAAAGTCATGACTTCCCAGATGACCTAATACTTTGGTAAATAATATTTAATGAAAGAGACACATTCAATTATTAACATAGCTTAAATGACTGCTTTCATAATATAATGGTAGAAATACATAGTGATGACAAGTACTATAGGGCCTGCGAAGCTTAAAATGTTTGCTTTCTGGCCCTTTGTAGAAAATGTGTCAATCTCTAACCTGGATCAGGCCAAGAGCCTGCCCTCCTTTGTTGCCTAAGTGCCACAGTGTGGGCTGCAGTATAGAGGAGGCATAAATCTACATCACTGATGTGCCTCACTGGACACAGGCATGGATCCCACTCATGGTACCACTCACTGGCTATCTACTGGAGGCCCCATCTTACCTTCCCCGGTAGTGAGAATGACGGCATAGGCTTTGATGGGTCCATGGCTGGCTTCAAACCCACTAAACTTGACCTTGACTGAATTGTGACTGATAGATGTAATATTAGGGGATCCATCTGGAGGAGGAGGGTCTGAAATAAAACAAAACAATACATGATCATTCAACATTTCAAACCCAAAGAGAAACAAAATTGTTAGGTAGAGAATGTAATTCGGTGCCCTCCTCATGATCTGCCTCTGCTCTGGAGTCTGAGTGCTGGGTTTGTGCAAAGCAAATCTAGAAGCAAACAGGGAAGAAAATAGGAAAGAGCAGAGACAATGGGCCCTGGGGAGCCTGCCTCACTCACAGTGACTCCACAGTATATCCAGCCATATCTCCAGGCAGGCTCCCTACTCCCTTGTTTGGTTTTGCTGTACTAGTTGTATTTAACAGTATATGCTTTTATTTTCTTCTCTTTTTTTAAGCAGATTTATTGGTGTATAATTAGAATACAATCAAAGAGATGAAAAACTACAACAATATTCTGGCATTTGATAGAAAGTGGATAAATATGGAAGATTTACTGCTGAATAAAGCAAGTCAGGCTACAAAGGAAAGACATTGTATGTCTCCACTTAAAATATACTGACTCTCCACACTCTGTGGCAGAAACTAAAAGCTTAGAGGATACAGAAGCATAGAAAATGGTTATGGATACTGGAGACAATGTGGGAAGAGAGTGTGAGGGAAAAAATTAAGGAGAGAAATAGAGAGAAGCAAGACATTTATGGAACACAGAAAGGGATTATTATCTGTTGTTGATAATGTGTATAGTATCCTCAACTGAATTGGTGTGAACTGTATTCATGTTGGGTAAATTCACTTTACAAGTTAAGTGACATATAATGCCTGAATGTATAAAATAAATTTAAAATTTTTAAAAAGACTTACACACTGAAAACATTGATGGAAAAAATTAAAGACAACCACAAATAAATAGAAAGACATACTATGTTTATGGATTGGAATATTTAACTTTGTTAAATGCCCAAACTACTCAAGTGATCTACAGATTCAACGCTATCCCCATTAAAATGCCAATGACATATTTTCACAGAAATAGAAAAAACCCTAAAATCCACACACAATCACACACAAAAAAAAGCTAGAATAGCAAAAGGGAGCTTGAGAAAGAACAAAGCTGAAGGTCTCACATTTTCTAACTTCAAAATACAGTACAAATCTACAATAATTAAAACATAATGGTATGGACATAAAGACAGATATAAATCCATGGGACAAAATGGGGAGCCCAGAATGAAACCCATGCACATACAACTCATCTTTGACATTGTGCCAAGTCTATACAATAGGGAAAACATTTTCTTCAACAAAATAGAAAAGAATTAAATTGGACTCCTATCTTGCACCATACACAGAAATAAACTTCAATAATTAACTTAAAACCTGAAACTAAATTTCCTAAAACCAAACATCAAAATCTTCTTGACATTGGTCTTAATACTTTCTTGTATATGATACCAAAACCATAGCAACAAAAGCAAAAATAGACAAGTAGGACCACATCAGACTAAGAAGTTTCTACACAGCAAAAGAAACAATCAATATAATAAAAAGCCAACATCCTTAGTGGTTGATGATAACCTGACTTTTCTATCCTTCTTTCATCCCTTCTGGCTTGAGATGGGCCAAGTTCTTTATCCTTAGAAATGGGGTGAAAGAAGGAGGAAGAGAAAGAGACCATGTGGGTAGAGCTCAAGGTGTGGATTTGGAAGCGGTACACAGACATCTGCTCACCTCATGTACTTGGCACCAGGATCAGTGGGTTGGCTGAGAAAGCAGATGGAGCAGATGCACAGAGGGAAGAGTCAAGGTGACACGGAGTGAGAACATCCTTTCTCCTGAGACCTGGTGGTATTACTGCTCCTTGTCCTTCACACTACAACCTGTTTTCGCTAGAGTTGTCTAAAACGCCACCTAAGAAAACTTGACTAACCCTCTTTCCAGAAACCAGAAAAGCCCACACAGGAAAATATGTAACCTTCAGGGCTCTGCACCTTTCCTTTCCAAGCCAGGCTTATGGATCTATTTTCTGATTAACAAAAAAAGACGAAAACACTAAAATAATGCTGATTCCTCTTCACTCATTCTCACTACATAAATTGTCTCCCACATATACTTTGGGTTGTTCTCATTATTATATTCAAAATTCAAGAAGACATAGAAAACTGAAGTACAAAAAAATCCCACAAATTAATTCTCTAAACTTCCCTTTTTCTAGTATGCCACCCCCCAGCCACAGGTAGCTGTTAAGCATTGAAAGTGTGTCTAGTTCAAATTCAGATGTGCTGGAAGTATAAGATATAGACTAGATAATGAAGACTTGATGATTATATATATGTGTGTATACATATATATATATATACATATGTATATGTATACATACACACACACACACACACACACACAAAATGCCTCATTCATGCTTTAAATAGGTTACAAGTTAAAATGATTTTTTTTAAATAAACTGAGTTAAACAGAATGTTAACATCAATTTCAGTTATGCTTTTTTTCCTTTTTTTTAACATGGATCCTAGAAATTTTTTAATTATACATGAGGCTGAGCCAGGTGGTGGTACAGCAATAACATGAGAAAGATCCTGGGTTCACATCCCAGGATCTCCCTGGGTAGGCTGAGTGCACATATGTGCCCATAATCCAGGCCAGCTGAGAACCGAAGTGGACTGCATTATAAGGACCCTGCTGGGATTCTCTCTAGTTCTCTCTTTCTCATGAATTTAATAAGTAAATAAACTTTTTAAAAGTTATATATATGAGGGGCCAGCAGACAGTATAATGGTTACATAGTCAACCACAGTTAGAGTCCCGGACCTGGTGGCTTAAAACTCATGCCAGGTGTGTGTGCGTGCATGTCCAAGATCCCGAGAGAAGAATGGAGAAGGAATTGCAACGTGGCCATCCCCCTGGGGGGGGGGGATTTCTTGCTTTCTGTGTGTGTGTGTGTGTGTGTGTGTGTGTGTGTGTGTCTCTCTCTCTCTCCGCCAAGCACACGTGCCCTATAGCAAAAAAAAAAAAAAAAAAAACCCCTCTAAAAAAAGTTATATATGGTTTT